GGGTGGGGGGGGATGTGAGAGAGGAGCGTAGGAGAATGTAAAGGGAGTGTCAGGGAGGTGTCAGGGAGGAGTGCGGGGAGGTGTCGGGGGGTTCGGGGAGGAATGAGGGAGGGAGTGAGAGAGGGTTGAAGAGGGTGTGAGGGAGGATGGAGGGAGGGTGTGAGGGAGGGTGTGAGGGAGGGTGGAGAAGTTGGGGATGATGTGGGGAGGGTTTTGGGGAGGAGTGTGAGGGAGGGGTGTGAGGGAGAGTGGAGCGAGGAGTGTGAGGGGGGAAATTTGAGGGAGGATGTAAAAGAGGGTGTGGGGGAAGAGCGTGGGGGGGAGTCTGGGGAGGATTTGGGGGGGAGGAATGAAGGGGAGGAATTTGAGGGGGGAGTGTGGGGAGGGGTGTGGGGAGGAGTATGAAAGATGAGTGTGGGGGAAGAGCGTATGAAAGGGGAGGTGGGGGGGACGAGTGTGAGGGAATGGGTGGGTGAGGTTCTGGAGAGGTGGGGAAAAGAGTGGAGGGTGAGATGTGTCAAGAAGTGGGGAGGGGGGGGTGAGGGGGAGTGTGAGGGAGGAGTTGAGGGAGGAGTTTTAGGGGAAGTGTAAAAAGGTGGGGGAAAGGGTGTGAGTTAGGAGTTGAGGAGGATTTGTGAGGGGGGAGTGTGAGGAAGAGTGTGAGAGAGGTGTGGAGAGTATGGGGGAGAGTTTGGGGGGAGGTGGGGGAGGGTGGGGGGAGGAGTGTGAGGGGAGTGTCAGGGGGGAGTGTCAGGGAGGAATGTCGGGGGAATGTCAGGGGGGAAATGTAGGGAGGAATGTCTGGGAGGGTGTCAGGGAGGTTTAGGAGGAGTGTGAGGAAGGGTGTGAGGAAGGATTGCTGGGGGGAGTGTCTGGGGGAGTGTCAGGGGGAGTGGGGGGGTGGGTGCAGTGATTTGTAGGGGGGAATGTGGGAGGGGTGTGAGGGTGGAGGTCAGTGGAAGAGTCGGGAGTTGAGGGAGGAGTGTGAGGGGAGGAGTGGAGGGAGGAGTGTCGGGGGAGGAGTGTCAGGGAGGGGTCGGAGGGGGTTTAGGGAGGAGTGTCAGAGAGGAGGGGTAGGGAGGGTGTCAGGGAGGGTGCCAGGGAGGATGCCGGGAGGAGTGTCGGGGAGGGTGTAAGGGGGGAGGGTGGGAGGAGTGTGAGCGGAGTGCGGGAAGATTTTGGGGAGGAGTGTGAAGAAGAGTTGAGGGGGGTGTGGGGAGGTGAGGGAAAGTGTGAGGGAAAGTTTTGAGGGAGGAGTGTGAGGGAAAAAGTGTGAGGGAGGAGTGTGAGGGACGAGTGTGAGGGAGGAGTGTGAGTGTGAGGGAGGAGTGTGAAGGCGTGTGAGGGAGTGTGAGGGAGGAGTGTGAGGGATGAGTGTAAAAGAAGAGTTTGAGAGAGGAGTGTGAGAGAGGAGTGTGAGAGAGGAGTGTGAGGGAGGAGTGTGAGGGAGGAATGTGAGGGAGGAGTGTGAGGGATGAGTGTAAAAGAGGAGTTTGAGAGAGGAGTGTGAGGGAGGAGTGTGAGAGTGTGAGGGAGGAGTGTGAAAGAGTGTGAGGGAGTCTGAGGGACGAGTGTGAGAGAGGAGTGTCAGGGAGGAGCGTGAGGGATGAGTGTGAGGGACGAGTGTGAGGGACGAGTGTGAGGGACGAGTGTGAGGGAGGAGTGTGAGGGAGGAGTGTGAGAGAGGAGGTGTGAGGGATGAGTGTAAAAGAGGAGTGTGATGGAGGAGTGTGAGAGGAGTGTGAGGGATAAGTGTGAGGGAGGGTTGTGAGGTATGAGTGTGAGGGAGGAGTGTGAGGGAGGAGTATGAAAGATGAGTGTGAGAGAAGAGCGTGAGGGAGGAGTATGAAAGAGGAGTGTGAGGGAGGAGTGTGAGGGAGGAGTGTGAGGGAGGAGTGTGAGGGACGAGTGTGAGGGAGGAGTGTGAGGGAGGAGTGTTAGGGAAAAGTATAAGAAGTGTGAGGGAAGGGTGTGAGTTAGGAGTGTGAGGGAGGAGTGTGAGGGAGGAGTGTGAGGGAAGAGAGTGAGAGACGAGTGTGAGAGAGTATGAGGGAGGAGTGTGAGGGAGGAGTGTGAGGGAGGAGTGTCAGGGAGGAATGTCAGGGAGGAATGTCAGGGAGGAATGTCAGGGAGGAATGTCAGGGAGGAATGTCAGGGAGGAATGTCAGGGAGGAATGTCAGGGAAGAGTGTCAGGGAGGAGTGTGACGAAGGAGTGTCAGGGAGGAGTGTCTGGGAGGAGTGTCAGGTAGGAGTGTGAGGGTGGAGTGTCAGTGATTAGTGTCAGGGAGGAATGTGAGGGAGGAGTGTGAGGGTGGAGAGTCAGGGAGAAGAGTCAGGGAGTGTGAGGGAGGAGTGTGAGGGAGGAGTGAGAGGGAGGAGTGTCAGGGAGGAGTGTCAGGGAGGAGTGTCAGGGAGGAGTGTCAGGGAGGAGTGTCAGGGAGGAGTGTCAGGGAGGAATGTCAGGGAGGAGTGTCAGGGAGGAGTGTCCGGGAGGAGTGTCAGGGAGGAGTGTCAGGGAGGAGTGTCAGGGAGAATTGTCAGGGAGGAGTGTGGGGGAGGAGAATAAAGCGAGGAGTGGGGGGGAAAGGAGGGTGGAGGGGGAAAGAATCAGCGAGGGGGCGTGAGGGGGGGGGGGGCAGAATCAAACGGGAGTGTGAGAGAGGGAGTGTGAGGGGGGAAATGTCAGGGAGGGGTGTCGGGAAAGGGGGGTGTAAAGGAGTGTGACAAAAGGGTTTTGGGAGAGGTGGGGGTGGGGGGGGGTGGGAGGAGTGTGGAGAGGAGTGTGAGGGGGGGGTGTGAGGGAGGAGTGTGAGGGGGGGGGTGTGAGGGAGGAGTGTGAGGGAGAAGTTTTAAAGAAGGAGTGCAGGGAAAAAGTGTCGGGAAAGGAGTGTCGGGAGGGAGTGTTCGGGGGGAAATTGTGGGGAGGGGAGTGAGAGTGTGTGTGAGAGGAGGAGTGTGGGGAAGGGGTGTGAGGGGGGGAATTGTGGGGAGGAGGAAGTGTGAGAGATTTTTGGAGGGGGGAGTGAAAAAGGGGAAAGTGTGAGGGAGGAGTGGGAGCGGGAGTGTGAGGGGGAAATTTTGAGGGAGGAGTTTTGAAAGGGGGAGTGTGAGGGAAGAGGGGGAGGGAGGAGTGGGGGGGAGGAGTTGGGGGAGGAGTTGAGGGAGGATTCTGGGGAGGAATGTAAGGGGGGAAATTTGAGGGAGGGGGTGAGGGAGGGGTGTGAGGGAGGAGTTGTGAGGGAGTAGTGTGAGAGAGGAGTGTGTGGGGATGAGTGTAAAGAGGAGTGTGAGGGAGGAGTGTGAGAGAGGAGTGTGAGGGATAAGTGTGAGGGAGGGTTGTGAGGGAGGAGTGTGAGGGAGGAGTATGAAAAAATGAGTGTGAGAGAAGAGCTTTGAGGGAGGATATGAAAGAGGAGAGTGAGGGAGGAGTGTGAGTGTGAGGGGTGAGTGTGAGGGACGAGTGTGAGGGACGAGTGTGAGGGACGAGTGTGAGGGAGGAGTGTGAGGGAGGAGTGTAAGAAGTGTGAGGGAAGGGTGTGAGTTAGGAGTGTGAGGGAAGAGTGTGGAGGAAGAGTGTGAGAGACGAGTGTGAGAGTATGAGGGAGGAGTGTAGGGGAGGAGTGTGAGGGAGGAGTGTCAGGGAGGAATGTCAGGGAGGAATATCAGGGAGGAATGTCAGGAGGAATGTCGGGGAGGAGTGTCAGGGAGGAGTGTGAGAAGGAGTGTGAGGAAGGAGTATGAAGGAGGAGTGTGAGGGGGGAGTGTCTGGGAGGAGTGTCTGGGAGGGAGTGTCAGGGAGGAGTGTGAGGGTGGAGTGTCAGTGATTAGTGTCAGGGAGGAATGTGAGGGAGGAGTGTGAGGGTGGAGAGTCAGAGAGAAGAGGCAGGGAGTGTGAGGGAGGAGTGTGAGGGAGGAGTGAGAGGGAGGAGTGTCAGGGAGGAGTGTCAGGGAGGAGTGTCAGGGAGGAGTGTCAGGGAGGAGTGTCAGGGAGGAGTGTCAGGGAGGAGTGTCAGGGAGGAGTGTCAGGAGGAGTGTCAGGGAGGAGTGTCTGGGAGGAGTGTCTGGGAGGAGGTGTCTGGGAGGAGTGTCTGGGAGGAGTGTCAGGGAGGAGTGTGACGGAGTGTGAGGGAGGAGTGTCAGGGAGGAGTGTGACGGAGTGTGAGGGAGGAGTGTCAGGGAGGAGTGTCAGGGAGGAGTGTCTGGGAGGAGTGTCTGGGAGAAATGTCAGGGAGGAGTGTGACGGAGTGTGAGGGAGGAGTGTCAGGAAGGAGTGTCAGGGAGGAGTGTCAGGGAGGAGTGTCAGGGAGAAGTGTCAGGGAGGAGTGTCTGGGAGGAGTGTCTGGGAGGAGTGTCTGGGAGGAGTGTCTGGGAGGAGTGTCAGGGAGGAATGTCAGGGAGGAGTGTCAGGGAGGAGTGTCTGGGAGGAGTGTCTGGGAGGAGTGTGAGGGAGGGAGTGTGAGGGAGGAGTGTCAGGGAGGAGTGTGAGGGAGGGAGAAGTGTGAGAGAGGAGCGTGAGGGAGGAGAGTGAAGGAGGAGTTTCAAGGAGGAGTGTGAAGGAGGGGGTGAGGGACGGGTGTGAGTGGAGGGGGGTTAGGGAAGAGGCTTAGGGAGGGGGGTGAGGGAGGGGGTGAGGGGAAGAGGGTGAGGGAGGGGGTGAGGGAGGGGGTAGAGGGGGTGGAGGGGGGTGAGGGAGGGTATTGAGGGGGTGAGGGAGGGGCTTGCGGGAGTGGGTTGATGGAGGGGGTTGAGGGAGGGGGTTGCGGGAGGGGGTTGAGGGAAGGGGTGAGGGAGGGGGTTGAGGGAGGGGGTGAGGGAGGGGGTGAGGGAGGGGGTTGAGGGAGGGGGTGAGAGTGGGGGTGAGGGAGGGGGTGAGGGAAGGGTTGAAGGAGGGGGGTGAGGGAGGGGGGTCAGGGAGGGCGGTGAGGGAGGGGGGTGAGAGAAGGGTTGAGGGAGGCTATATAAGACACTCTCAGACAAATTGGATCATTTCCTGTTTTACTGAGGAAGTGACAAGTTTCCTCCCTGAAGGTAGGTACCTGAGTGTTGGTGAAGGTAGGTACCTGAGTGTTGGTGAAGGTAGGTACCTGAGTGTTGGTGAAGGTAGGTACCTGAGTGTTGGTGAAGGTAGGTACCTGAGTGTTGGTGAAGGTAGGTACCTGAGTGTTGGTGAAGGTAGGTACCTGAGTGTTGGTGAAGGTAGGTACCTGAGTGTTGGTGAGGGTAGGTACCTGAGTGTTGGTGAGGGTAGGTACCTGAGTGTTGGTGAAGGTAGGTACCTGAGTGTTGGTGAGGGTAGGTACCTGAGTGTTGGTGAGGGTAGGTACCTGAGTGTTGGTGAAGGTAGGTACCTGAGTGTTGGTGAGGGTAGGTACCTGAGTGTTGGTGAAGGTAGGTACTGAGTGTTGGTGAAGGTAGGTACCTGAGTGTTGGTGAAGGTAGGTACCTGAGTGTTGGTGAAGGTAGGTACCTGAGTGTTGGTGAAGGTAGGTACCTGAGTGTTGGTGAGGTGTAGGTACTGAGTGTTGGTGAGGGGAGGTACCTGAGTGTTGGTGAAGGTAGGTACTGAGTGTTGGTGAGGGTAGGTACTGAGTGTTGGTGAGGGTAGGTACCTGAGTGTTGGTGAAGGTAGGTACCCGAGTGTTGGTGAGGTAGGTCCCGAGTGTTGGTGAGGGTAGGTACATGAGTGTTGGTGAAGGTAGGTACCTGAGTGTTGGTGAGGTAGGTACCTGAGTGTTGGTGAGGTAGGTACCTGAGTGTTGGTGAAGGTAGGGTACCTGAGTGTTGGTGAAGGTAGGTACCTGAGTGTTGGTGAAGGTAGGTACCTGAGTGTTGGTGAGGGTAGGTACCTGAGTGTTGGTGAGGGTAGGTACCTGAGTGTTGGTGAGGGTAGGTACCTGAGTGTTGGTGAAGGTAGGTACCTGAGTGTTGGTGAGGGTAGGTACCTGAGTGTTGGTGAGGGTAGGTACCTGAGTGTTGGTGAGGGTAGGTACCTGAGTGTTGGTGAAGGTAGGTACCTGAGTGTTGGTGAGGGTAGGTACCTGAGTGTTGGTGAAGGTAGGTACCTGAGTGTTGGTGAGGGTAGGTACCTGAGTGTTGGTGAAGGTAATTACCTGAGTGTTGGTGAAGGTAGGTACCTGAGTGTTGGTGAAGGTAGGTACCTGAGTGTTGGTGAGGGTAGGTACCTGAGTGTTGGTGAGGGTAGGTACCTGAGGTGTTGGTGAGGGTAGGTACCTGAGTGTTGGTGAGGTAGGTACCTGAGTGTTGGTGAGGGTAGGTACCTGAGTGTTGGTGAGGGTAGGTACCTGAGTGTTGGTGAGGGTAGGTACCTGAGTGTTGGTGAAGGTAGGTACCTGAGTGTTGGTGAGGGTAGGTACTGAGTGTTGGTGAAGGTAGGTACCTGAGTGTTGGTGAGGGTAGGTACTGAGTGTTGGTGAAGGTAATTACCTGAGTGTTGGTGAAGGTAGGTACCTGAGTGTTAGTGAAGGTAGGTACCTGAGTGTTGGTGAGGGTAGGTACCTGAGTGTTGGTGAAGGTAGGTACCTGAGTGTTGGTGAAGTAGGTACCTGAGTGTTGGTGAAGGTAGGTACCTGAGTGTTGGTGAAGGTAGGTACTGAGTGTTGGTGAGGGTAGGTACCTGAGTGTTGGTGAGGGTAGGTACCTGAGTGTTGGTGAAGGTAGGTACCTGAGTGTTGGTGAGGGTAGGTACCTGAGTGTTGGTGAAGGTAGGTACCTGAGTGTTGGTGAAGGTAGGTACCTGAGTGTTGAAGGTAGGTACCTGAGTGTTGGTGAAGGTAGGTACCTGAGTGTTGGTGAGGGTAGGTACCTGAGTGTTGGTGAAGGTAGGTACCTGAGTGTTGGTGAGGGTAGGTACCTGAGTGTTGGTGAAGGTAGGTACCTGAGTGTTGGTGAAGGTAGGTACCTGAGTGTTGGAGAAGGTAGGTACCTGAGTGTTGGTGAAGGTAGGTACCTGAGTGTTGGTGAGGGTAGGTACCTGAGTGTTGGTGAGGGTAGGTACCTGAGTGTTGGTGAAGGTAGGTACCTGAGTGTTGGTGAGGGTAGGTACCTGAGTGTTGGTGAGGGTAGGTACCTGAGTGTTGGTGAAGGTAGGTACCTGAGTGTTGGTGAGGGTAGGTACCTGAGTGTTGGTGAAGGTAGGTACCTGAGTGTTGGTGAAGGTAGGTACCTGAGTGTTGGTGAGGGTAGGTACCTGAGTGTTGGTGAGGGTAGGTACCTGAGTGTTGGTGAGGGTAGGTACCTGAGTGTTGGTGAGGGTAGGTATCTGAGTGTTGGTGAGGGTAGGTACCTGAGTGTTGGGAGGTAGGTACCTGAGTGTTGGTGAAGGTAGGTACCTGAGTGTTGGTGAAGGTAGGTACTGAGTGTTGGTGAGGGTAGGTACCTGAGTGTTGGTGAGGGTAGGTACCTGAGTGTTGGTGAAGGTAGGTACCTGAGTGTTGGTGAAGGTAGGTACCTGAGTGTTGGTGAAGGTAGGTACCTGAGTGTTGGTGAAGGTAGGTACCTGAGTGTTGGTGAAGGTAGGTACCTGAGTGTTGGTGAAGGTAGGTACCTGAGTGTTGGTGAGGGTAGGTACCTGAGTGTTGGTGAGGGTAGGTACCTGAGTGTTGGTGAAGGTAGGTACCTGAGTGTTGGTGAAGGTAGGTACCTGAGTGTTGGTGAAGGTAGGTACCTGAGTGTTGGTGAAGGTAGGTACCTGAGTGTTGGTGAAGGTAGGTACCTGAGTGTTGGTGAAGGTAGGTACCTGAGTGTTGAAGGTAGGTACCTGAGTGTTGGTGAGGGTAGGTACCTGAGTGTTGGTGAAGGTAGGTACCTGAGTGTTGGTGAAGGTAGGTACCTGAGTGTTGGTGAAGGTAGGTACCTTAGTGTTGGTGAAGGTAGGTACCTGAGTGTTGGTGAAGGTAGGTACCTGAGTGTTGGTGAGGGTAGGTACCTGAGTGTTGAAGGTAGGTACCTGAGTGTTGGTGAGGGTAGGTACCTGAGTGTTGGTGAGGGTAGGTACCTGAGTGTTGGTGAAGGTAGGTACCTGAGTGTTGGTGAGTGTAGGTACCTGAGTGTTGGTGAAGGTAGGTACCTGAGTGTTGGGGAGGGTAGGTACCTGAGTGTTGGTGAAGGTAGGTACCTGAGTGTTGGTGAAGGTAGGTACCTGAGTGTTGGTGAAGGTAGGTACCTGAGTGTTGGTGAAGGTAGGTACCTGAGTGTTGGTGAAGGTAGGTACCTGAGTGTTGGTGAAGGTAGGTACCTGAGTGTTGGTGAAGGTAGGTACCTGAGTGTTGAAGGTAGGTACCTGAGTGTTGGTGAAGGTGTGTGTTTTGTTGTTGGTGTTTGTGCTGTTGTGTGTTGTTGTTGTTTGTGCTGTTGTGTGTGTGTTGGTGTTTGTGCTGTTGTGTGTGTTGTTTGTGCTGTTGTGTGTGTGTTGGTGTTTGTGCTGTTGTGTGTGTTGTTTGTGCTGTTGTGTGTGTGTTGTTTGTGCTGTTGTGTGTGTTGTTTGTGCTGTTGTGTGTGTGTTGTTTGCGCTGTTGTGTGTGTGTGTTGTTTGTGTGTTGTGTGTGTGTTGTGTTTGTGTGTTGTGTGTGTTTTTTTCTTTTTGGGGGGGGTTTTTTTTTTTTTTGGGGGGGGGGGGGGGGGGGGGGTTTTTTTTTTTTTTGGGGGGTTTTTTTTTTTTTTTTTGGGGGTTTTTTTTGGGGGGTTTTTTTTTTTTTTGGGGGGTTTGGGGGGTTTGGGGGGGGGGGGGTTTTTTTTTTTTTTTTTGGGGGGGGGTTTTTGGGGGGTTTTGGGGGTTTTTGGGGTTTTTTTTTTGGGGGGGGGGGTTTTTTTTTTTTTTGGGGGGGGGGGGGTTTTTTTTTTTTTTTTTAAAATTTTTTTTTTTTTTGGGGGGGTTTTTTTTTTTTTTAAATTTTTTTTTTTTTGGGGGGGGGGTTTGTTTGGGGGGGGGGGGGTTTTTTTGGGGGGGTTTTTTGGGTTTTTGGGGGGGGGGGGGGGGGGGGGTTTTTTTTTTGGGGGGTTTTTTTTTTGGCTTTTTTTTGTTTTTTGGGGGGTTTTTTTTTTGGGTTTTTTTTTTTTTGGGGGGGGGGGGTTTTTTTTTTTTGGGGGGGGGGGGGGGTTTTTTTTTTTTTTTGGGGGTTTTTTGTTTTTTGGGGGTTTTTTTTTTTTTTGGGGGGGGTTTGGGGGGGGTTTTGGGTTTTTTTTTTGGGGGGTTTTTTTTTTTTTGGGGGGTTTTTTTTTTTTTGGTTTTTTTTGGGGGGGGGGTTTTTTTTGGGGGGTTTTTTTTTTTTTTTTTGGGGGGTTTTTTTTTTTTTTAAATTTGGGGTTTTTTTTTTTTGGGGTTTTTTGGGTTTTTTTTTTTTTTTGGGGGGGGTTTTTTTTTTTTTGGGGTTTTGGGGGTTTTTTTGGGGTTGTTGTTTTTGGTTTTTTTTTTGGTTTTTTTTTTTTGGGGGTTTTTTTTTTTTTGGGGGGGGTTTTGGGGGGGTTTTTTTGGGGTTTGGGGGGGGGGGTTTTTTTTTTGGGGTTTTTGGGGGGGGTTTTTTGTGGGTTTGGGGGTTTTTTTGGGGTTTTTTTTTTTTTTGGGGGTTTTTTTTTTTTTTTTTTGGTGTTTTTTTTTTTGGGGGTTTTTTTGGGGGTGTTTTTTGGGGGTTTTTTTTTTTTTTTTTGGGGGGGTTTTTTTTGGGGGGTTTTTTTTTGGTGTTTTTGGTTTTTTTGGGGTTTTTTTTTTGGGGGTTTTTTTTTTTTGTGTTTTTGGGGGTTTTTTTTTTTTGGGGTTTGGGGGGTTTTTTTTTTTTTGGGGGGGGGGGGTTTTTTTTTTTTTTTTTTTGGGGGGGTTTTTTTTTTTTTTGGGGTTTTTTTTGCTTTTTGGTTTTTTTTTTGGGTTTTTTTTGGGGTTTTTTTTGGGGGGGTTTTTTTTTTTTTGGGGGGGTTTTTTTTTTTGGGGGTTTTTTGGGGGGGGTTTTTTTGGGGGGGGGGTTTTTGTGCTTTTTTTTTTGGGGTTTTTTTTTTTTTTTCTTTTTTTGGGGTTTTTT